TAAGCTTCACTATTACTATACATAATCTACTTGATCTTCTATTGTACAGGTCTTATTTTTCATTCTAGAGAGAAATATCAAATGCATTTGTTATCAGCCATCATCATGCACTACTTTTTAATCCTAATCGCTAACGCGCAATTACCCTTGATCACATGTAGAAAATTCATGTCAATATTCTTAATATTTACTTTTTACTTTGAATTCTATTTATTTTTATCATTATTTTATTGTGGAATACTTTTTTTTACTTCATTTTAATAAATCTTCAATACTTTGGCGATTAATCCTTTTAACTTGTTTGTGCGTTCAATGCTGCGATAAATAATTATCTTGCATTCTGCAACGTTAATACCGAAAATAGGTCTTGCATAAACAATTATAGACAACGGTAATGATTTTCTTCAGGGTGACAGTGGTGGCCCACTAGTGATGGAACGACCGGACGGCAGATGGTTCCTAGTCGGGACCGTGTCTCACGGTATTAAATGTGCGGCTCCGTATCTACCGGGTGTGTACATGAGGACGACTTACTACAAGCCCTGGCTGCACAGTATCACCGCAGTCTGAGAAGCTGGAACTCACTATCGTCATCTCACGTTCTCGCGTAATTGCGCGAGCGGCACCGAATGCCATTCTGTATAAATGTACAAAGGAACTAATTTATTTCTCTTCGAGATAGAGCGTACTTAACTCAATTAAGTAACACAATCGCAGATGTAACCGGACTTGAATGTCAGAAGGCTGTATCGATTTCTGAATAATAATGAGATGCACCATTCTCTTATGCATCCGTTATTTCATGTTTTTTATTAATGCAACGGGAATAACACTTGCATAAGTAGCAACTTGTGCCGAGTAAATTTTATTGTAGAAGCAGAGAGATGCAGAGAGATGCAGAGATAGAGAGAGAGAGAGAGAGAAAAGGGAAAGGAAAAGAAAGAAGAGACAAAGAAAAGGAGGAGAATGAAGAAACAAGTCAACCTGAGTCTCAAGTTATTTAAATTTCTACGGAAATAGAATTCTACGGATTGTCTGCGGTAAATTACTGCTTCTCGGCGCACAACCAGTGCCCGATGATGCATTTATGAGTATCAATGTTTAAAACTCGTCCTTATGCGCATGTGTATACATATTTGCAAAGTCAACATTGAAGTAAGTTCAGAGAGAGTATCAGAAATTTTAAATCGTTATCGCTCCTGAAATGACCGATTCCTATCGCTTCCTTTACATCTTTCCACGATCGAAGAAACAGATACTAATAATTCACGATTTGCGTCAATGCTCTATATAGCGACTTCCTAATTTGAAACTGGCTTTTCTTTAACAAAACTCTTTAACAAAAGTATTTTATTAATAAAATAATTTGTAACATAGAAGTTATTCATTTTTTTATTTAATTTATAATTATTAAAATTTATAACTTTATAGAAAATATTAACTCGTAAATAGTTCAATTGAGGAAAAGTTGACTCCAAATTTATGATATTGCAAATCATATTGGTAACAATTTCATTATCAAAGATACGTGAGGGAATTTTGGATTATCATGTGTATAACATGAGTGAATTTCAAAAACTGCACAACATTCCTCCTCATATTTTATATCTCTATCCGTTCCGTGAATATTCGCGCCAGCTCTGCAATACATACATAAGTGCATAAAGACGAGCTGCAAGCCCTATTTTATTTCATTGTTAGATGTTATTTATTAAATACATTTTTATACGATAACTACATGTGCGGTTATTTTATTCACCACCAACACTTCAAGCACGGAAATATCATAAAAGACATCAACGACTTGACGTCACATCGCCATGCATATTACGCGTCACAATCCTCGAGGTGATACTCCTATTAAAAATAGAGACAAATGTTCTCCAAATCGATCGAACTTTTAATATACTTATATCATTACATATGAACAACGTCACCGCGGTGATAACGTCGCTACTTCCGGTGCTTTCTGTCTTTCTGGTGCTCGTTCGTTTGGCACGTGTTTGAACTAAAAGGTCATAACACCGATAAAAATCTACAAACGTTAGCGTATATACCACAAGATATTTGCCTACGGCACTAATTCTATGATGTTTGCATTTTATGGTAAAAATAAAAAATCTCTTCAGAATTTAAATTCAAATTCAATCAATCCATACAAATATCGCTAAACGCCGCTAGCGATTCACTATAATTTTTCAGAACAATTTACGCCTTAAACAAATTTGGTCACTTTTTATTATATAAATGAGATTTTATAAATATTAAAGTTTTTTATTATAATTAATTTCTAAAATATATCTTTCTAAAATATCTTTAAGTTAATCTTAGAGCAACCCCTTGTTATCTTATTATACTGTGATTATTAATTCTGTGCATCTGTGTGATAAATGGGGAAATAGTAGCAAAGTGTGCAGCTTTATAGGGGAACGAAATGTCGTGCTACCGATTAGGATCTTTGTGAATACACTCTTTATTATGTTAGCCACGCGTAAAATATATACAGTTATTCTATTCAGAATAGAACAAACTTCTTGAAAGTACTGTTATCATTATTAATACTGCATTACAATTGATATTAGTTGTCTTCATAAATCTCGTGAAATAAGGAATTACGAAATTATATGTATCAATTGTAGAATTGTGTTTCTTGTATCTAAAACATTACGTAGAATGCAAATGCCAACCGTAATTTCGTGATATTTAAATAGAGAGAAGACTAATGAAATATTAAGTAAGAAATAATAAATGAGTATTATAAAATAAAAATTATTCAAGAAAAAATTAATGTTAAATCAGACTGGAAAATATTATTTAATATTCTACTTTAATATAATTATATATAAAAATTACTATTTTAATATATATGTAATCATTTATATAATAAAAACAAAATTCCTTCAGGTGTAATATAAAATTATTTGAAACGTTGAATTAATTGGATTATTTCCAGCGAAAATGTACGTACAAACAATCCACGTATATTGTATTTTCGTTTACGTAGGAAAGGGCGCGGTAATTCAAAGGACCATTAAATGACGTGTCAGCTGACCTTAGCGGAGAATAAATTTCAGTAAGTGATTGAGATCATTAAACGAGTATTCATCATACAAAACCATCCTGCAAACTTATTCATGCGCGTGCTATTACGACGCGAGACAATATACATTTATATTCCATCATAGTGGACACGAAGTTTCTTGGAAGTCTGGGACTTGTTATTCACGACACGCAAGACCAAAGTAACGTTCAAAGTTACGCCGCGAAACGTCAAAGCGGAAAGAAGTGATGCGATTTAATGATACGTACACATACACGGGACGACCCGGTGCACTCGCGAGAACGCATATATGCACTCGCCTGTGTACTCTGGCATTTCGTCACACAGGTGGTTGCATCGTAGACGGTAAGCGTATTTGCGATCTGTCACTGCAAGATTTACGCGCGTCTACCGGTTCTGTTCTCCTCCTCCGTGAAAATGTTCACTGAGTGCCCTTTTCAGGAAAAAGGAAATAACGTCGTAATTAGAATTTAAGATCAATTATTAGTGCAAATGAGATTAAAGTTGAAAGAGTGGAGATTATACAATTTAAAACTATTGATTATAATTTATAATTCTTTTAAACAACAATTGAGTTAAAAACCTTTAGAAGATTTATGAGAAAACTGACATAACAAAATAATAGTATTTTAAGTTAACTATTTGAATAAACTTTCCTTAAATTCCTCAAAATAATAAAAAATTATTCATCAGTATTTTCGTTAAGGATTTTAATAAGAATAAAAATTATTTTACATTTTAGAACTTTAACTTTTAGCCTCGCTTTTAGCTCAATAACTTTCTGAAAACTGGCTTTTTGAGAAAAAAATCATTCAAAGATATTTCATAAAAAATCCAGACCTATTGAGGAGTTCAGATTTAAAAGCATTAAACAATGACGATATTATCACGATTTTTGCTTCGCAATCATCTAATATATGTGAAAGAGCATGCGGAGGTTTATAAACGGGTATATGGAGCAGGAACGACCACCCGGCGGGTACATCAGGATACCTTGGATCAATACGGCCAAGAGAGAACGAAACTAACGGTAATATAAGGAGTGCGACAAGGAGTGAGCTAAAGTGAGCAAGGTAAGCACGATGAACGGCGAGAACGTGTCCTGGCGCGCGAAGATGGAATATTCGTTTGTCGTGATTGTCGGGAATACGTTTTGAGAATCTCAAGTTGAGATAAATATAACAATGGGCACTAAGAACCAGAAAAATTCTGCATCTCTCTCTCTCTCTCTCATACAAAGGACCTCCCCCACAAAGTCAGGTTCGGACGAGCGAGATTACTTATTATCTCTGACCTTTCGCAGAACGTACGCTGCTTGTTCTTCCGGATATTAAAGAACATCGCAATTTCTGAAGTTGTTTCCCAACGAAAACGGTATCCCAAAGGATCGTGATATTATAATTTGTGAAAGAAGTTAATCTGTGCGTGCGAATCCGATTGTAAAAAAATTGCATTCAAAGCATTGTAAAACTGTGGATTTTTTCTTTTTCGCACGAGTAGCAAAAAGAGTACTGTATCTAGATTTTTTATCAAATATCAACAAAAACTTTATTTAATTAAAAATCAATGGTTCATTGTATCATTATTGCACTCGATCATACGTTATTGTCAAATCAGCCAGTAATAGTAGGTTGTTGATTCAACAATTTTCTTCGGGTGTTTGGCAGAGAATTTTGCATATGGCAGCTCCGAACTTAGGAAATGAATAGCCTCGGATGCGAATGGTTTATTTGTTCGAGTGGCTCCTTCGGCCAACTATTTCACTCAATAGGCAGCAAAAGATCTGAATGAACAAAATGTCACGTAGGTCGCAATAGGGTGGTACGAAAAAAAGAGAAGAAGACGGGCCGGCAGCGGGTGGCGCATGCGTCACTGTGTATTTGCGCCCGTGTGACGGTAACCGGAACGACGTAGAAGTATAGATTGCCGAAGCGAGCACAGCACGGACTCAGTCCTCCAGCAAACTCCACCGAGGACTTGTTGAGCTTGTGTGCACCTAGCGAGGGGTAGCTAATCCTGCCCGGCCGAGGTGTAAAGGCGTTCCAGGCAAGCTGAGCCAGGGCGCAAGAACTTTTCGTAAGTGACTCATGGCTTGTTAATAGAAGGGGCACTTCTGATGTTCATAATATTGTAGATGTGTCATAATATTGTAGACATTGCATGAATGTTTTAGAACCGGAGCGTCCTGCATGTTGTATTTTTCGAAGCTTGTCCTTGATGTTAAGACACATTCTCAATATTTTTTTCTAGATAAAGCAGTTATCGTTAAAGTGGGTTAAAACACAATTAAAATAGAATAAATTGATTTATAGATTCGAAGTTAAAATACATAAAAACAGTGTTTAAATATTTTTCTGATCTAAGGTTGTGGTTTAATTGTTTAATATATTAAAGGATAATTTGAGCTATAGAAATCGGATAAATTAAATTAATTGAAATTTTGCATTAAACGTATTAATTATTATTTTAGCTATATCCATTTATATATAAATGATATTCACTAAATATAGCAAATAAATTTCATCACAGGTGAAAAAAGATAAGAGGGATGATGAAACGCGAATTATCGATTATGTATTTGAGGTTATTGCTAGTATTGACCTGATGCAATTCATTTCATATGCTAATCATAAATTATTATATATCCTTGACTATAAATAGAATATGAACATAACTCGTTACATTTTTCCATATTTTCCATATTTTACAAACAATTAAATGCTGACGCATTTAATCTTCTTATATGATTATATAAAACAATTTTCTTTGAAAGAAAAGTGCCTGTCATATCATTAATTGCAATACAAATATTAATTAATTGTAATGTAAATATAAATAGATATTAATTATAATTTAAATATTCATATTAAACGAATACAGTCGATTGCTTTTAAACGTATTTATAAATATTAATCGTTTAATTAATACCATCACAGCTTATTAGCATGCAGAATCAGGGGCTTATTCTCGAAGAATGTCACATATGAAAATACATGTATATCATAGATTTTCCTAGCATTTCAGACCCTGAGCTGCAATAAAGCTTACTAATACTTTAGTGAATCTTAATAAACTTTAGTGAACCTTACTAATTAGTGTAACATAAGAAATAAATTAAAGATATGAAATTACGAAAGAAAAAATAAGTAATAATAACATCGATGACTTTGCATGAAGAATGCTCTTATCGGTTTTTGCATTATGAAATCGCACTAGCCGTAAAAAGATCGCTTTGAGAAAAGTATAGTAAAAGCATTACATCACCGGCATTTGATATGATAAGCCATCATGTAAAACGAGTTCGATGCTAACGGCTAACTGCGTCTTACGGATCGCTGCTTGCAACAAAAACAGTCGGGATAAACAACACGGAAATAAAATATACTCGTAAGAGGTGCAAGGAAGAGAAAATCGAGCGAAATTCATTCCAGTCTAAACGGTAACAAATTCCTTCTTATCCTGCTTTGCAATTTAAATGTTCTGGTTTTGTCCTTATCTTTGTAAGCTGCATCGTAAATATAATCTAGTTTTACGTAGAAACTTTTAGACAAATGTAGTTTTAAAATACATTACTGTCAGTCACAGTTTTAAAACAGTAAAAAAATTTACGTAATGAAAAAATTAAATTTACTTCCTGACTCTGGTAATGAATTAGAAAAAAAAAAAGATTTCAAAATGCTTTGGAAATTTCTGAATACTTATATTGTTAAATTTATAAAATGTAAATGACACACTTAGAAAAAATACTCTCATAAATAATATTTTTAATTATTTTGGAATAGTTATACGCATAATGCATTTGTAAATATTCACGCAATAATATGTAATAAATTAACGTTCACTTTTCAATAATGTGCAATTACGCCGAGTTTTCTCTGATAAATTTCAATGATTTTAACGCGATATGAGCACCCTTTCTCTCTCGGATGATTATAGAACCGAAGATCAGTACATCTCTAACAGCATGAAGGCGTGTGCGGTGATAACGTTAGTGCTTGTAGCAAACACGGCTTACATCGGTGTTGAGGCATGGGGTGGCCTTTTCAACCGCTTTAGTCCTGAAATGCTGTCTAATCTCGGTTATGGCAGTCATGGAGGCTACATGAACCGTCCTGGATTATTACAAGTAAGTAAAGCGACTTGTCCTTGGAAAAGTAACAGTTTTATATCTCGCGATCATTGTGATCAAGTGATAATCACATTTTACAAGAAAGTTGTAAAAACTTATATATAAACTATATTTCAATCTTTCAAACGTCCTTCACATATATTTTAAACGTCAAAGATAAAAACCCTGAAGATATTCAGATATCCGCTGAAAATCCAAGCATCTAAAAGCCCCCAAAATATTATAAGCAGGTATTCGTAGTCGATTCTTGCTATTTAAAATCGTTTTAAGTATAATCTCGAGATGTCATAGCCGAATTAGCATCTTAAGTATAATGACTTAAGACGGATTTGAAATAAGAACAGACTGTAAATTACGTGGCTTTAATTTTTCAAGTGCTCTTTAAATATATCTTATTGTTAGATGTCGAAGATAAAAATTCAACAGTGTCTCCCTTAATTTTTTAGATATTCTTTAAACTTCTTTTAATAATCTGGACGACTAAATAAAAGTTCAAAAATTACTTTAACCTCTTTTAAACACTCTTCACATAATATATTTCAGACGTAGATACTGATAAAAATCTAAAGTACTTGCAAGTTTACCTAGATGTCCTTCCGAGTTTTTTTAAACGCCGTTTGAACTTTTTATTATTTGATTTAATTAGCAACACCATGCCGCAATACAGGTCACGCACGATCGATACTTCATTTTCGAGCTGCGTGCACTTGTGCTTCAGTAACCGCGAGAAGAATTCTCCAGCAGCTCTGTTTATTTCACATTTCCCCGGTCGCAAAGAATTAACCGCGAAATTGCGATCTGGAGATTGAACAGAGCTGCTTCCGTACACCGATATTTGTGAAATTACTGCTACTATAGAAACTACTACGTTTCAACTGTAGTAGAATTATAACTTCTGGGAATACTCAAGCCCGATAAATATCTGCGCACGTTTCAATTGCAACTTTATTTATTTCACATTAACTCAGGAAGATTAATTCTCTTCGCCACGTGTATAATCAAGCCCTGGAAAATTTCATTTATTATTAAATGGAATGGAATTATGCAGTAACATTTTTTTACTCATATATATTCTCTTTATTATATATGCTTCTTATATAGGCCACGTTCCGATGTATGTACGTACGTTATCAGTACTGAAAATCTATAATATACGTGTAACATAAATTATATATTTTTAGTACTGGCCGTGTATATCAAAACACGGCCATGTTTATCATTATTTTACTTATATATTCTTTTGTGTAAAGAACAATGAATTTGCAAAATATTCTAAACAAAAATATATAAATAAATTTAATCTAGCAAGAAGATATCAAATGTATTATCATTTAACTCACACTTGATCTGCGATCAAGAAAAACGAAAGAAAAGCATTACAGGATACACGTAACAATGATTCATCGAAGTTACGGATGTAAGTTAGAAATAAATGATTAAATAAATTGAAATCAAGAAAGAAAAAAACAAGCTACTGTTTCTTACAGTTTTCGAAGCAATTTCAACAAATAATTCTATTCCATTTAATTATTGATTGAAGAGAAAATGACAATTGTTTTTACCATCCCACTTCTAATGTTTCTTGACAAATTATTTCGTAATTTTAAAATTGTTAAATGTATTCAATTCTAAATAATGCATTTAGGATCTTAAAATATAATTTGTATTTTAAATAAAGCAGTCAATTCAGGAAGGATATGGCGGTATATATGAAGGAGTTGAACCAACGGAAGAACCTTGCTACGAGAGAAAATGCGTGTATAATGATCACTGTTGCCCAGGTTCCATTTGTGTAAATCTCGATGGAGGTAAATCAAAATATCTCACAATTGAAAGTTCCTATTAATTAATTAAAACTTGTTCAATTAAAACTAATAAAGCTCTTTTTGGGAAACAAGCTGGTACGTTTTTGACGACATTTGAACATTAAAATGACGACAAATAACGTCAATTTGTTTCCTGAGTTATTTCTCATTCTTTTCGTTTTGTAAGGAAATAATCACGAGTTTAATGTTTCAGTTGTTGGAACATGTGTTTTCGATTTTGGTATGAAACAAGGCGAGCTTTGCAGACGGGATAGCGATTGCGAAACTGGCTTAATGTGTGCCGAAATGCCTGGACGGGAAACAAAATCGTGTCAACCGCCGACCACTTCAAACAAATTATACAGTGCGTTGACAAGTGTATATTCTCTTTTAAAATATATCCAAGCAGAACAATAAGACACGATAATATCAAAGCGAAAAAATTTTAATAACATGATGATCTTTTTGCTTAAATACACTGTTCTTTAAAATCATGAAAAGATTCTATCAAGCAAATGTAATGTACTTACAGATGAGGAGTGCACTATGTCAAGCGAGTGTGATATCAGCCGTGGACTGTGCTGCCAATTACAAAGGCGACACCGACAAACTCCTAGAAAGGTAACAATAAGTATCTATTAGTATATAAAATAAATTGCAAGATAAATTGTAAAACATAGTTACATCTAAAATTTTAAGAAACGTGTTCGAAAAATTTCATTTCTTTAACGGAGTGTTTTGTGTATGTGAAAAGAAATATCTTATAATACTGTTCCGTGAATATAAATCATTTTAAATATCTTGTCAAGTAGAACGATCGTTTTATAAATCTAACAATGGAAAAATCTCGTTTTATATAATTCTGACGATGGAAAAATCTTATTTTATGTAATTTTAATAATGAAAAAATCTCGGCAGGTTTGCTCGTACTTCAAGGATCCTCTGGTCTGCATCGGCCCGGTAGCGACGGATCAAATAAAGTCCGTGATCCAATATACTTCCGGCGAGAAACGGATCACTGGACAGGGCAACCGCCTATTCAAGCGGATGCCATTCGCCTAAACGCTCGCGCGTTGTCACAACGGATGGGAAGTATATAAGATAACATACAGTATATAAGATAAGCTACGAGAAAATCAAATCTTTCTTTAGTCGTTGTGAAGATACTTAGGTCTAAGTCTGTCGATTCGACATTACATTCAATCTCCTTCCAAGTCCTAACTCTACTCCATGCCACGATACACCGGAAAGTATGATAGCGTGCGACAAAAGTGGAATTAAATATTACTCGGGGAGATGTTACTTCGAGGATGTTTCTTCTTCGAATATAGCGCGACTGACAAACCTATACACATATCATAGTAAGCCGTCTTATAGGTCTCTAGGGATAAGGGACACGCTAGCGTAGTTACGATAAGGAAAGTGCGCTGATGTTTAAAAGCGCCGTTCGACAAAGATGTTTCTTAATGATATAAAACTAAGGTGTAGAGAAAAGCTCGAAAGAAGGTTTATCTATCGGTCTACCGGTTGAGCTTTTCTTTCGAATTAGTAGAGAAAGTTTAATGAAGCACTTAATTGTTCGCGATAAGTCATGGTCATAGAAATAAGATATAATAAACGAGAGGCGTGCACAAAGGGAAAAGTAAAGTCCTTGTTATCGTCGCAGTGTCAACATTGACTATTTTATTCTATTAATCAATGATATTCTCGTTATGCTAATCTGTAGGATATTTCAAATGATAAAGTCTATCTTTCGAGAATTTTCGAAGCAATAGAATAACAGATCATGACCACTGACACAACAATGTGGTTGCATTGCAAACGAGATTTTCCTCAATGCGAGAAATTTCAATGTCGATACCGTGAACGATAATTAAATTGTAAAAGACTGTGCTTTCAACTGCATTTTCATACATTTTCACTGCGTATCATAAAATCAAAATTGATTTAAAATTTGTTAATTTTATAATAACAAAAATAATCTTACGCAAAAAGAAGATGATATACGAAAAGCGCTTCTAACACAAAATTAAAATATTATATTAAAATGAAAATGATCCAATCAAAATCTAAAAGAGACATTCCCTAAATTTGAGATGTCTTTTGGATTTTTTTTGGAAAGCGCTTTGAATTTCTATACTGTTTGTGAAATGCATATTTCGCAATTTTGAATAACAAAATGAAGGAAGTGCAGTTAAAAGGAACAAAAGTATCGTCAACGATTGCAAGTTGACTTACATCTTTAATTGGAGTTCTTGAGTGATTCCAGTGAGTCGAAATGCCAGCAGGACATGACGAAAGAAGTCGTCTGCAATGGCGGATTTAAGACTCAAATAAAATAAGAAATAACATTTCTAGCAAGCTAAATAATATTTTCAATATTACGAAAACGTTTTCCACGTTGTTGCTGAAATATGAATGTTACAAGCATATAAACAGTCATAAATCAGCTGAACGATTTGGGAAAATTCAGTAATACACAGGTCCCTATATAAGCTCCAAGAAATCGGTTATCCGTAAGTCCGCCATTGCACATCCCGTTAATTATTCAAACGCACAGATCGAAGTATTTATTTTTCTTTCTCATTATACGAACGGTCGTCCGGCGGACATCGCAAGAAACGCGAGGTGTCATTCAGGTTTTAATGATGGAGAAGTATTTTCTACTGGGGGAAGAGAGCTGAAAGAGGCGCAAGTACCTTATAATTCAATCGATGTTTCGAGTTTATCCTTAAATTAGACGTACTTAGACGTTTAACTCGACTCTATGTCGAATACATTTATCCCAACCCTTCTCCAAAAAGAACTTCGCGCACCGTCGGTGTGTATATCGTTATCTAAGTCACGTTGTGTTGAAAAATGACACATTTTAGAATGTAGGAGGATTATTACTCTATAAACGATACATATCAAAGAGGGAAACATTTTTCTCTGCTATATTATATTCAGAGATATAGCGTTATATATAAATATACAAATATACAATGACGAAGGAAAAGAGACACTTTTAACTCTTAGTGGCAAATATAAGTGTGCGTATTGTTCGTTTAAAAAAAAAAAATAAAATTCCAAGCAAGTATTAAAAAGCAGAAGTTATTAAAAATCGCGGAAATCGCTCTTTGTCGAGTAATAATATCGCGGAAATCGCTCTATTAACTGTACTAATGAAATCGTAATATTAAATATACGATATATATTATCTGTGGCTATTGTTATGTGAAACATTACTCTGTGGAAAAATTCATTATAATATTAATCGTTACTGTGGTCAGAAAAAGTATAATGTTAAATAATAATCGTTTCAGAATGATTGCACGATGTTTTAAATGTAATCGTGGGAGGCGCAATGTTAAGAGTTTCTTGAAATCACATTCGCATATAACAACACAACAACAATAACAATAACAACAACAGCAAACAGAGAATGACAAAAATGCTCTAATCTCAATATCCGTAGAATAATCTGTCCTTTGTCTTGAAAGAAAAAGCTCTTAGCGAACTGTTGCTTTCCATGCCACCGGTGCTATAATCGCCAAGAGAGTCCCCTGAAGACATATTATCAATCTTCTACTATCTCTCGATATTTCCTGAAACGTTAATCTACCTGCGTAAGAAAAAACTCAAAACATATCGAAATGCCTAATGCATTTAAGAGAATTCTATAAAATATGAATGTTAATTACAAGATATATTATCCTATTGAAAAATTATATTTTTATCTTCGATCCGTATGTATATTTAAGCTCTATATATTTACATAATATATTTTCTCGAGAGGCGTACATATACCTATAAAATAATATACATATATATATTATATATATCCATACATACGCACATTTACATATCCGCCCTGCTGTATCATACATATGTAATGTTCTGAAAGATGAACTGAGATTTTTTATTCATAATTTTAAGCGGTTGTCTTCTTGTCTTAAATTACAGATGTAAAATTATTTGTTAATGCGGATCGATGACCTAATCATATAAATTTACTATTTTAATTACAATTTATGCGTCTTTTCTTATCTTTATACGTTTTATTTAATCTAATGTTAGTCAAATGCTATAATTTGGATTTCCTGAAAAATATGAACATTCAATGTGAGATATTTTAGACCTAAAAACAATTTTTTTTATCTAATCTATCTGTGTATGAAATTAAATATTTTAAACGAAAATTTCATTATTCCGTAAGCATGTAGACAGAAGTTTCCTTACTAGATGTTGAATATAAAATTATTTATGGCATATGTTGTAAGACATATCTTCTCTTTATAGATACAGAATATTATATTATATAATTATATCTGCAAATATGTTATATATAATAATCTATATATAATTTAATTAGATGGAATATGTATATATATACATACATGTATATATATATATGTCTATATATATGTGTGTGTATATAAATATGCACGTTTTCTCAAAAGTCTCTCTGTTGTTTCTGCCTGGATATCTTCTTTCTCTTACTAAACTAATTAGTCGGGCTAAGGAACTGGACTAAGGAAGTATTGTGAACTGCACACAAAAAAGATACATATCATAGCTTGTAAGAGTCTTTGCCTTGTAAGGAAGTTCAGACGCATGTTCACAAAGCACAGATCGCAAAAGTGATGGCGAACATATACACATATACGAGCTGTCGCAGATCTCTTAAAGATATTCGGCCGTCTGGCCTTGAGTCGAAAGTACCTCTGCCGAAAGAGTTAATCCCAGCATAAAACTTTATGTGTTTATGACGTATATGTAAATGTATCGTTCAAAATTACAATACTTAAAAAAAAAAGTTCTAATAGCTAAATGTGAAATACACGATGGTGCATATGAAATAAACCGAATATATTTCTGTCACTCCTTTTGACTATCAAGTATTTTCTCCTCAAAAATATGTGCTGATGTATACATATAATCGACAGGGTTAGGTAAGTTAACTTTTTTTTTAACTAAGTTAACAGCTTTGAAAATTTAACTTAATTAAAATACAAGTTAATCCATAATAAAATTAATTGGATTAAAAGTTAAATTAATAAAAAAAGTAATTGAAAAGTTAAAAGTTAAATTTGGTCCGAATGAATAATAAAAAAAAGAAAAAGAAAAAGTTTGACTATTTTACATAATTTTTCGTATTTTTTCTTTCTCGACATATTTATTAAAGAATCACTGGATATTTTTGTTCACAAGTAACAATTATACAATATAAAAGACATAAAATTACTAAATTATATACTCATTATATACTCTCGCAATTGTGTTGTCTCGCAGTCTGAGGACTGACTTGAAAATAATCACATTAAAAGTTAATAGTTGCCGATAAAATGTAACTAAATTAGGTTAAAAAGTTAAGAATCTAAAATTTAACTACGTTAAGTTAAAATTAATTAACTTTTTAACTTAACTTTTGCCTTTTTAACTTAGCACTATCCAACCCTGATAATCGATATTCGAGCGCGTCTGTGAAGTTAGCACGGCATTTTATTAATTTTCAAAAAATAATGATTGTTCCAGTAGCACTTTTCATTGTTCTACTGTTCTTTCAAAAATAACAAAATATTCTGCATTTTTAATATCAAAAAATTAAAAATAAAGAAATGTGCTAACTTCACGTTCTAGCACGGCATTTCAACTTCCTCTAAAGTACCAGATGCCATCGAATATTACGATATCTGTCGAGTATTCCCGTTTCTTTTAAGTTAAATTGATTATTATATGAAGTTTCAGGACAAACTCCAACAATTAATAATTTTTAAACAGGTTAGAATATTCGCACTCTACGGAAACATGTCGACCCGATAATTTTGGGCATTCTTGACAATAGTTCTAACTTGTTCCGCTCAAGTTTTATACGAATAAATTATTATCAAAAATTGTTCCGCCTTATAAACATTTCTTTAAACAATTTTAACTATCGCTACCAGCACGTCACTTGGCGGAAATGTGTCGTGCTGATTAATTTCAGCACTTCTGGCAGTAGTTTTGAGTTGTTCGGATCGAGTTCTATACAAACAAATTATTATCAAAAGTTGTTCCACCTTAGAAACATTTTTTAAACAATTTTAATTATCACTACCAGCACGTCACTTAGCGGAAATATGTCGTGCTGATTAATTTCAGCACTTCTAGTAGGCGGTAGTTTTGAGTTGTGCCGATCGAGTTTTATACTAACAAATTATTATCAAAGGTTATTTTTTTTTAATTAAAAAAATGTAAAAAGTGAGCAAATCGTAAAGTCAAAAAATTGTGCTCCTAATATGAGATGCCTAGAGAAATCGATAGTAAAACGCAAAGTACATCAGTATTGCAATTTAAAAACTTTATTTAATGTTTCTAAAATATAAACAAACACAGCAAGTGCGCGCACAAAATGAGCACGCGATACATTGTACCTAGGACTCGTCTTCAGGTAGTTGGAAACAAGCATCGCATAAACAGGCACTCGCTGTTCATTCAGGTTGTCTTTTTTATTATTGTACAATAACATTTATACTTTAGCAACGATTTTCAGTGTGACGTAGAAGCATAGGTTATTTCATATTAGAAATATCTTATATTACGATTTTCACGCCTTATGGTTTCATGATCTTCAAATCTAACTTGTATAATTAAGCAATTCAATATAATTTTTAAAAATATTATAAAAATGTTTCTAAGGTGGAACAACCTTTGATAATAATTTATTCGTATAGAACTCGATTAGAACAACTTAGAACTACCGCCAGAAATGCTGAAATTAATCAGCACGACACATTTCCGCCAAGTGACGTGCTGGTAGCGATAGTTAAAATTGTTTAAAAATGTTTATAAAGCATAACAACCTTTGATAATAATTTATTCGTATAGAACTCGATTAGAACAACTCAGAATTAGCGCCAGAAGTGCTGAAATTAATCAGTATGACACATTTCCGCCAAGTGCTGGAACGTGAAGTTAGCACGGCATTTCTTTATTTTTGTTTTTTTATGTTAAAAATGCAGAACATTTTGTTATTTTTGAAAGAACAGTAGAACAATGGAAAGTGCTACCGGAACAATCATTATTTTTTGAAAATTAATAAAATGCCGTGCTGACTTCGCAAACACGAGCTTATAATTATTCGAGCTTATAATTATCTTTTTTATTCACCCTTTGATTAGATATTACAAAGAATTGCAAACTTTCAAGACAAAATTTTCTTTTAGATATGAGCTTGTAAAGATTGAAAAATGAACTTCTTCAATTCTAAGATAATATAAAGATGTAAATGTAACTCTGCAATGTATGATAAAACATTATGTAAAATATTATACAAAATATTATATAATATTATAAAATATAACATTTAATAATTTTATATATTTAATGTGACATTTTTAAA